AATATATATCTAAAAATGACTGTGCGACTGAATCTTTTTTGATTTCTTACGTCAGTTCTCTACTTAGCAGACAAACATATAAGTTGAAATATATTTCTGGTGTTGATTAAGAATTATCCTTTAATATAGAAGATTGTTCAAGAAAAAAATAAGAGCTTGAAAAAAGGATGACATTTTATTTTCCTTCAAACAAGGAACTTATTTATTCAGATCATGCCCTGCTGCCAGGAAGTGTGTGAATGTTTTAACTGATCCATATCTGCTGTTTTGGCTTCCATTTGCACGGAATTTGACCTGTGGGTTAAAATATATATTTACTTGGCTGAAAAAATATACGCATTCATAAAAATAAATCGTATGATATGCTTACGTTGTCTACCTAATTATAAAGTTACATGTCTACCATGATCTTCTGAGGTCTTTGAATATATAATAATTCTTGACTCTTTCGTATCGGTAAAAAGTGAACAATTTAACAAATAATGCGATTAGATTTTAATAATAAATGATTGCATAGAAGTATTCTTCGTTTCATTGGATTTCTGTTGTAAATTTGAGATAGAACATTATTATACTATGTTGTTTTAGAACTCCTCCTTTTAGTCTCTTTTTATTGTCATTGCAGCATTCCAGTCATTCCATTATGACGAAGGCAATTTTATAAAGAAAACATTGACAGAAACCACCTGGAAAAAAAACTGTCTTCTTCCATGAAGATTGTATGTCTGAGAAAGACGAAATAATGGATTGGCTGAAACTTTGTGGTAAAAGAATCAAATAAGATTAGTATTCGGAAGAATTCCTCGAATAATTAGAGTTCCATGTGCCGAAATAGAATTATTGTCGAATATGGATATCGTAATTGTGACAAAACAGCCGCTACTTTGAAAGAAAGCAGACAACTGAAAACATTATTAAACTTCCAGAGATAAAAGAAGAAAAAAGGGGGAAAAAAACAAAAGAAAAAGAAAAAAAAACACTTCCGTTCAGATTGACAAATAATTTGGGCAGAGTTCGTGTAACACTTTCAATTCAGGAAACCTCATCCTTTTTACTGATAGATATTAAAGGTTGAATAAAATAAAATTCAATTTTAAATTATTCTGAGAAAAAGGATATAATTGAGAAGTACCGCTACAATGAAGTGTAATCTTGCTCTCTTGTTAAAACTGCAGTGGTTTCTAATTATGCGAACATCATTTCATAGAGAAGCAAGGAAAACGAAAGCTTAATTTCGTCCAATGGAATCGTAAAAAAAAAAAAAAAAAAAAATTGACTCACAAATCATCAGGGATGCCTTTTAAGCGTAAAAATGAAAGCCAAATCTGGTGCTGAATATTTGAAAATAGTTGGTTACGTAGAAGCAAAATCATTCTTTCTCACGCAGTTTCGTACATACAAATTCATTATGTCTATGAATACAGATAAATGGGTAGTGAGATCGACAAATATAAAAAGACTAGTTAGTTGCCTTGTCAATTATCGTCGAGAATATGCTACTGAATTTAGAAACTGTCTTTTAGAAGAACACCTTGTAATGGATGCTAAACAGTTTAAATATATCGCTTGACAATCCTATCAAAAAAGACAATCAGGCTTATTTAAAAGAAGTTTATCCATTTTTTCTATGATCCCTTTATTCTTTCATAGACAATCGATCTAAGGTAGTTATTTGCCCTATTTCCAGTATGTATAATTCTTAGCAAACTTATTCTCAATAGAATCATCCATAGCAATATAGGATAGCGAAATTACTAAGGAAACGCTATCGAGATGGCCGGCAGCCATAGAATATCCGTTCAAATGATCACAACGGTGACCATGCTTAAATCTACGAAAGAGCAGAATATAAAATCTTTCAATGAAAGAATGAATAGCTTAAGTTAGACCATTACTAAGTGACAATCCATAGCGCGGGAAATTTAAACGGTTAGAGACGAAGCCAAAGAAAATAGACAGCGTATTTCGACACAAGGTAAAAAATATTTATTCGGAAAAGAGAATCGATTCATTGAATTAATCTATGTTAGACATTATGAGCTAATAGTTGGAGGCGAACTATTTCTCCGTCCATCTCTCTCTCTCTCTCTCTCTCTCTATATATATATATATATATATATATATATATATATATTTATCAATTCCCTGTGAAAATAAAGATAAAAATAGTCCAACTTAATAAAAAGATAATAACAGACATTCACTGCCATTAGAATGGCTCATGATCAGACATAACAGGCATTCATTGTCTGTTATATTTAATAAGATATGTTTAAGTACACACACACACAAATATATATATGTGTGTGTGTGTGTGTTTATATAGAAGTTATCATATTCTGTTATATTATTAATTAAATCGTAATATTTTTTAAATTTTTATTATTAATTAAATCATAATATTGTAGATAACATTTTAAATTAATATTTTAATTGATTTATTATGTTGTATTATTATTAAAGCATCAAAGTATATATTTGTTAATATGTCGGCATCGACCCATTATTTGATTGATTTTATTTAAGAAATTAATTTGATTATTAAAAGTTAATATTGCTAATTTTCCTTCTAGACGCAGTGTACAGTACATAATGATAATAATATATGTGTGTATTTTTAAAAAAATTACCATTTAACTATCATAGGTAAATTATTTTCGAAGAAAGAAATTACAGCTGAAAAAAAGAGATGCGTAAACAATATAAACTGTTTTTCTAAGGTCCACTCAGTATAGTTAGAGTATAAACCAAACACGGTCTCTGTGGGTGGTCGACAAATGTTTCTGTGTACAACGGGGATAGCCTAGCCGCCATAGCACATAGGCCTGCTCGGAAAAGAGCGGTCAGTCACGATCGCGATACAAGATGTTTGGCGCTAGTCTGAATTTCTTTATAAATCGCCATAAAAGGAGATATTTTTGTATTTATTTAAAGTAAAACATAACATTTTAATACCTTGCTTTTATTTTAAAACAAAATAACCACTTAGCTATAAATAATTACTCTAAAACAGCATCATATTTTGTTCTCGTCAATAAAACCACCACAGAGACGAAATCAAATTTGAACTTTTTTTTGTTAATAATAGAAGAAAGCAAATATTAAAACATGTATTTTTAAGGAGTGGCAGAGTTGTCTCAAACATTATCTTTCTAGTATATATATATATATATATATATATATATATATATATGTGTGTGTGTGTGTGTATCGTATCTCTCTATATATATATACACGCACACTCACATACACACACACACACATATATATATATATATATATATATATATATATATAGAGAGAGAGAGAGAGAAGAGAGAGATGATCATATAAATAATCAGTAGATGATACAAGAGTTAATGTTTGTTTCTAGTAGAATGCCAAATGTCTTCAAAATACTGTCCACTTCTTAAACGCAGAAGCTATGTATCTATATTTGAAAAATGCATATAACTAGACAGCTAAAAGCTAATGATCCAAAAGATGTTTGCTGTAAATATTTTTGAGGCCAATATTTTTAAGCATGATCGCTGCTATTGTAATCTGTTTTAAGGGAAATCATTCGATAATTCAAAATTCTAACGAAAATATTGCCATATGAATAAAGTAAAGAAAAAAGTAACAATGATGAAGAACGGGTCGAAATGTGGATCGATTTATATATTTTTTTAGAATATCTGAGCAGTTTTCAAATTGTGGTGAGATGAGATAATGCAAAGGTCAGAAAGTTCAAAGAAAAAAAATTGTATGCGTTGTGTTTTTAAAAAACAAAAATGTCCAATGAATAGAAACATTGATTTGTGATTCTAAAGAAAAAGGTAAAGTTTTTTTTTTTATCTCTTCACTGTGTCATGATATCTGGAAGTTCAGGTTCATATATATATATATATATATATATATATATATATATATATATATATATATACAAACACATACACATATATATTTCTATATATATATAATATATATATATACATACATATATATATATATATTTATGTGTGTGTGTGTGTGTGCATGCGTGTGTGCATATGTTTTAGCATATGTGGGAGTGGAGTGCGTGTAAGTGCGTATATGTCAGTATTCGAGTGTAAAAGGAATGCTTATATATATATATATATATATATATATATATATATATATATATATATATATATATATATATATATAATGTATATGCATATAACTATACATGAAAAGTTCTATACCTAGAATGTAAATATATATGTGTGTGTGAGAGAGAGTGTGTGAACACATATTTTCTATATGAATCTCTTTCAAGAATATATATATATATATATATATATATATATATATATATATATATATATATATACACACACATATATATATATATATATATATATATATATATATATATATATATATATATATATATATATTCCCTCACGATCCGCTCAAATCTCTAGGTTTAACTATATATATATATATATATATATATATATATATATATATATATATATATATATATAAAGAGAGAGACAGTGGAGGAGCGTGAGAGAGAGAGAGAGAGAGAGAGACAAAGAGTGAAAAAGAAAGAGAAATCCTGCATCTCTGAGAGATAGGTAGAGATAGATGGAAATGCGAAATGGAAAAATCTTCTCCTCACTGGCACTGAGAAATTACCTATTTAATTTGTTATATATGAGGATGTTATAATAATAATTGTTTACCGGGAGGAAAAGATATTAATAGAAGTAAGAAGCTCTAAAATCCACGCATACTTCTCAAAAGTAAACATCCCTATTCGGTGAGCACAAAATTATGTGTTATATCACCGATAAAGTTTTTAAAGGGGATTTGAGAATTTATCTTGCCTCAAATCATCGAGATTATTAAAAAAGGAGTCGATGATCGAAAAGAGGTTTTGGTGAATAAGCAGCTTGAGAGAGATTTTTATCGAAGTTTATTCACTTTTGTGTGACTTGTCATCAGATGTTGTTATGGAGAATTGGCCCTTTTCTATTGACTACGTATAGAGACGGAAATGTTCGGGGATTCTCTCGATTTTCGGTCAATACGACTCGCTTGCGATGATCTCAACAGGATTCAAGTAGCTGAAGTCAATGACTCCCTTTATTTGCCATATAACACTGATAATTACCTCCCTTTTGTGCAACGCTTGGGTGGTGTTTGTACTTCGTCTCGGGTCGGCATTGCGGTTGATTTTCGTATAAAATCCATTTTTCATCCCATTTAAGAATTAAATCGAATCTGTTGCACCTTAAAGAGTAAAATTGTTATGTTTCTAGATTTATTTTCTTTTTTACGTTTTCTATGCAAACGCCAAAAAAATGTTGAATGGACACCATTTTGTTTACTACAATGTTTCCCGCTGTTTTTCGTAGGACCGCTTCAGTAATGGCCTTCAGTTGATCGCCAATCGAAAAACGACATCACTGACCATCATCATGTTTAATGAACTTGTCTCCGTTAAAAAATTCTTTGAAAGAAAGATGAGATGTACGCTGTTTGACGGTTCACTAGCCAACTGTTGGTTTTAGACACAGAAAATATTCTGCCGATTCATGTTACTTTGGATTCATATAATAAAATGAATGTTTTTAGTTTCTTTCCATCTGCTTGACAAAAATAAATTATGAAAACGAAAATATCAATTTGTTATTCATTTGAAATGCGTAATTACACGAACGTAGTGGAATAATAATCTATCCCCAAAATATCGACGATTACAATAAACGAAACCTGTGTATCCGTGTTTGTGCTAGGGCGTGCATTACCTCGGATATCACACACACAACCACCCACCTACACACTTTTGCTTGTAATGAGATTGACCTTCACAGGGTGTCACGTTGCCCCGATATATTGCTCGGCTTTAGAGATGATTATACATAGTACGGGTGGAAGGGTGCATAGCGTATCCGTTATATACCCGGGAGTGGAGGCAATCCGGATGCCGAGTTTGTATTTTGAGTTCGTTGCGTTTACTTTTTTAAAAAAATACCTAAAAAAATCTATGCATCAATCTTTCTTCAAATTAAGTTAATTAAAAGTGAAGATTAAATTTCTAGCCTTTGTGGCAAACCAGTTTAAAAGATCTAGATTTAAAACCGGTGGACTGAAGCTTTGGTAGCTCAAGCCCGTCAAATTATACTTGCTATCAAAAGCACAGCAGTACAAATGATGCAGTTATTGCTCAGTGTTCCGCAGCTAAGTGTACTTGTTATGCAAATATGACTATAGTATAGGAGCTCCATAAATGTCTTTATATAATAACACAAAAACACACAGAGTGTATTTGGAACTTTCTCGGCTCATCTTCACCGAGATGAAATCATTTTACCTTCTCACATATATACATATAAGCATATATTTCAAAATCTTTTGCCCGGTCTTACAGGCATGACTTATTTTCCGCAGAGCATCCACTTGCCCCACAGAAGCAAACTATTACAATGCCAAATATTCAGATGAGGTCTACTCTTTAGAACCACCTATGGAGACATTTACAGTTATGTTACTCTATATTACGTTCACAAATTCGAATCTGTCCCAACCGTTTTCCATTTGTATAGAAGAAATTACTCTCAGACACCTTTCCCCCGATTCTTTATGAAACATGGACACTAAAATGATAACGTCTTCAAGTAAAGTGTAAACAGCTACCTATCACACTTATCCTGATACCATTCCCTTCATTCTCTCTCTACTTAGATTCATATTACATATCTCATTCAGTAAACCTCTACTCTGAGTGACTCTTGTGCCTTGTATTGTGTAAGATATACCATTCAAAATTTAAAGAAGATATGTTGTAGTTATTATATGTATTACAATTCGAACTCTTCTTCTTGTTTCTACTTTTGAACATTCTGGTAATCTTCTGTGGGGGGTGACACAACAACTGAACTGATAATAGCAGGTAGGAACAAAAAACCGCGAGGAGGGTAACCGACAAAACCGGTGTCACACGTCCAACCTTCTCACGAGCCAAAAGCCCTCTGATTTGAAACAGAGAAAACGCGCCTCCTTTATACAGCCGAGGACCGACCACGATTTGCATGCGAATGACGAGACAACGAGATTTCGCGTTAACTAACCGAGACCGCCCGGCATAAAACATGGGCGCCGCCATTTTGGTTCCTTTTACCGCTAGCAAACTGGAGTTTGCACATCGCACAGATTCGCAGGCGTTTCCGCGGCAGGCCATTTTCACAATTTTCCCCACATCTTCAGATATTTCTCGTTATATACTGTAAAATTCGCAGAATAATGAAATGTTTTCTATTCAACTTACCAGGGGAGATTGCTGATGCATAAGCAATATTTTATATTTCATATTTTACGATGCAAGACATTCTTCTTACATTGAATTGGTATTAAATTGAGATGTGAAACTTACGTTTATTTTTATGATAAACATTAAATTATAAATTCCGAACATCATAATAACGATATAATACAATATCATTTTTATGAGAAATATTTACAGTAACTCCAATGGTGAAATGTGATATTATTATATATCATGGCGGTTTTTCCTCATCATGCAAATAACTATTTTATAGTATAATTACGAGTATTCATTTTTTTTTATATATATATATATATATATATATATATATATATATATATATAATTATTTATTTAGTACTTATTGGTTATTGAATTTACTATTTATTTAGTATTATTATTGGTTATTTAGTATTTAGTATTTATTTCGTATTTATTGGTTATTGGAATTTATTCAGTTTACACCAATCCTATATTGCATATATATATACATAGAGGAATTGAGATTTCTAAATGTGGCATGGTTGTAGTTTAGGGGGATACTGAGAAAACATAATGGAACATGCATGCATATATATATATATGCATTTCTTGAATAAAGATTCTTCAATCTGGAACCATGTAAAATGTGTTTATTAATGAGAACAATTCTAAACTGCCTCACATCTGTATCAGTAGCATTAATACTTTTATTGGATGAAACATTATCAATCATTATTTTTGAATAGATAACTCAGGCTCAGAGATAATAATAATAATAATAATAATAATAATAATAATAATAATAAAAACAATCAAAGCCAACCACTCAGACATTGTTATTAGAGACCACAGAGAAAAGAAGTGCCTCTTTATTGATAAGGCAGTCCCTGCAGACTGCAATATATTTTTGAAGATATTCAAAAAGCTGTTACAATACAAAGGCCTTGAAATAGAAATCTAAAAAATGTGGCACATGTGAACATCAACAATCCCTGTTGTAGTTGGGGCCCTAGGATTGGTTGGAAAAGATTCCAGTAGACTAATTGAAGGGATTCCTGGAAGTCCATGCCTCTAAGAGATACACACTTTACGAAGGGCTTTATGTATGTAATTTTTATTTTTTCAGTGGAAAGTGTCGTGATACCATTTCTAACCTTAGGACCCTGGGCGGGACCCGGAAAGAAATGTGTAAATGCCAGAAATCAAAGGAAATAAAAATAATAATAACAATAATAATAGTTGTAGTTGGAACCCTCGAATTGGTTGGAAATGATTCTAGCAGAATCATTGAAGGGATTCTTCGAAGCCCATGCTTTAAATAAATACAACATTTGTTTTCACGAGTACTGCCCACAACTTACGAAGCGATTTAACTATGTAAAATATGTGTGTGCATTTGTGTGTGTTTTAATTCATCAGTGGACAATGTCATGATGCCATTTCTAACCTTATGCCCCTGGGCGGAACCCGGAAAGAAATTTCTACACACCTGAAATCAAATCAAATAATGATAATAATAGGGAATTTCAATTGGGTGAAGAAATGCAAATTAAAACTAATGCACCTACTGCAGCGGCAAAACACCTAAAAATAGAAGGCAAAAAGCAAATGCAACGAACCAAATGCAGAAACAATGACAGTATATGCCTCTTCATGGGAAATACTTTGGGATGCCTAGTAGCCAAAACCTTAAAGGAATACAAAACAATTTTCTCACAAGTACAGCTCGAACATTAAGAAGAGCTTTATCTATTCAAAATGTGTGTGATCTTAAGTTGCTTTTTTAAAAATGACCAGTAAAAAATATCATGGAGACTTTAGATATCTGCTTGGGTTCTGAAAGGAAATGTGTATCCAACAGAAATCAAAGGAAATAATAATAATAATAATAATAATAATAATAATAATAATAATAATAATAATAGACAAATCGCAAAATCATTAGCGGTTGAGTAGACATTACACAGATATTAGTTGCTATGTAGAAATTACTAAGAGACGAAACGGAAAAATTGGATTAAGTGAAATACACTTGACCATCTTTTATCAGTTTGCATGGTATTAACACCCACCGAATATAAAATTCTAGGGTGGGCCAATACATGCATTGGAATATTTACAATTTTTATGGGATAAAAACAGCTAGGAATTGGTATGAACACCACTCAGACCCGGTTGCAAACATAAGACATCTCGCAATTTTATGGTAATTTGTAATACACACAGGCAGAACAATGAAAACTAATTGTCATAAAACCAGAATGTCTTTTCTTATTGACATGACAGGTCCTGCAGAATCCAATGTAGCTTTGAATATCTTAAAAAATTATTAAAAATCAAGTATCTTGTATTGGAAATCTAAATATTTGGCACATAAAGATATCAGTAATTCCAGATGTGATTGGGGCACTGGGTTTGATTGGAAAATGACGCATTGAAGAGATCTCTGGAAACGCATGCCTTAAGAAAAAAAATATTGTTCCCCCAGGTACAGCTCACACATTATAACGGGATTTAGCTAATTAAAATGTGTATGCGATTTTTAGGTTGTTCTTTTTTTACAAATATGTTCAGTGGTAATTATCATGATACCATTTGTGAACTTAGGTATCTAAATATGACCCGGAAACAAATGAGTATACAACAAAACGCAGACGAAGTACTACTACTACTACTACTACTACTACTACTACTAATAATAATAATTGTGATAAACAATTTGGGATGGAGGGGTGACATTTAAATTCTCGTAGATTAGCTTTTAACAACGTAAGACGATCACAAAGCATGAGTGCGACAGAATTTATCAAAATTCGAGACCTTTTATTCTTAGCTGTTTACTCATCCACTGTAATAAATAGACAGTGAAAATAGATGCATTAAAAAAAAGAAAAAAAAACTACCAAAGAATTAAGCTGAAAATCGATTATTCAGTGTTACAAATAATGATAGGAACGGAATTCTTCCTCAAAGAATGTGAACGTTTAGAATGTTTCCTAAGTATTTTTCTTTTTTTTATTGATCTCTTCTCCACCTCGTAATTGAAAACTATCTATGACAACACAATATTATTATCTTCAATCACAAAGTATTCATTTTAAACCGGAGATCTTGTATTATGTGTATTATTCATCAAGTTTGAAACCGGCTTTCGCAGAATATTTTTAGAGCCGAGCAATGCAAACTGATGAGGTGATGGCATACGACGCTTTATTCTGATGTTCTCAATGTATGATTTTAAAATCGTTGGCATAGAACCAACTGCTCCAATCATAACAAGTATAATTGTGGTCTGTATATCAACTTCAATCTGATGATCAGTGTATATCTTGAGCTTAACAAATCCTTTGAGCATTATATTATTGTCAGCAGAAATGGACGGGTAAGCATATTATTGTTTATTTTCAACGACGATGATGTCTGGCTGGTTTCTAGAACGAAATTGTTTAGATTTTGAAATCCCATAAAATCTTGACTTGGTCATTTTCGATTAATTTCTTTGGCTATTGGAGGTACGATAGTTAATCTATATTTCATGCGTATGCCTAAATGCAGATGAAAGGTCACCCTGTCCTGTGTTCATTTTGTGCAAGTATTCCACAAACCCTAATGATGGGGTTGATAATTCCCACCACCCACCTACGTGACCCACCTTCCTTGCCCTTGTCCGAATTCACAGTAATAATGATGATGGTAATGAAGATGATAACAATACTAATGCTAATACTACTACTACTACTACTACTACTAATAATAATAATAATGCTTATTATTATTATTATTATTATTATTATTACTATTTTGATTATTATGTAATCAGAAATGTTTTTTCTACAGATCTTTACTTCAATACCTATTACAAAATTCTCATACAAGGGAACCAAAACCGTACAATGACCAGGAACGTGTGCGAATAACATGCAAGGTGAATGAAACGGTACATTACGATGATGATTTCTAATCGAAACGATTTCTTCATAATTGTTGCTAATTTTGATAAAAAAAAACCTTATATTATTTTTTTTTCTCTTCTGAAGTAAGGTCTTTTAAGGGAGATGGCAGCTGAGAAAACTTTTACCAATTTCGAATGTCGTCCATTCCACGTGCAAAATTGTAGTTGTCGTGCCGACATCATCCCTACTTGCATTTCTATGTATGCAATTGTTATGAGTATGAACTCTAGGGTTCATGATTAGAAAATCCCGGTTTGAAATAGCATTTGAAAACTGGTGACGATAACATTACTAACCATGAGATCGTAATTAAACGAGAAATAATGACAGCAATAATGAATATAATGAGAATAATGACGAGATTAATTTTAATGACATTGATTATTCCATTGTGAAATTTACATTGCAAATTAAAACAGCGTTTTATTCAAATTCACTTGCTGCGTCTGCCGAGAATGAAAATTACTGTTACTTTTAGTTTATTTTTAAAGATTTGCTTTTCATTGGCGATTTGGAAATTGAGAACCCATTGTTTCCATTCTTCATTTCTTTCTTCCAGGGTTCAGATTCTTTTCTTTTTTTCTTTTCCGTATTTTAATTCGTTTTTTTTTTTTTTTTACTTTTTTCAGATTTATGATCAGACTTCAACAGGATTCGTTCACTATTCCTTCCCAAAGTTCGTCTTTCAATTCTTTTTTCTTTTTCGTCCGAAGATTTGCACATTTATTGCGTATTATCGCGTTAATTTAACCGTTGGCTAAACCAAATAATCATTGCGTTTGATATGTTTCCGTCTATATCTAGAGACACATATTCTATGCTATGAAAGGAGTATTCTAATCAGGACCATAGTGACGCTTCCCGCGTTTAATAGCTCGCTCAAATCACTCATAAAAGAACCTAATTTTACAGGTGCATGTAACTGTTTTAAATCACGGATTAGATCTTAGTTTGATTTATTAGCTTCTCTTTAATTATTTCCTCCCAAGCAAGACAATAAAGCCACCAAGACACAAGAGCTTACTGCGTGTTAGTAAGTATAAAAAAGAATAAAAATGTCATTAAGTGAAGAGAATATTAAAAGAACAAAAATTAAGAAGACAGAGGATAACAATTGAAATTACATTTAAATTGTTGACGTTCACTGGGAAGCTAGAAACTAAAAGAGATTTCCACGGACGGGAGAAGAAATTGTTAACATAGAACTTACGGTTAAACCAATCCATTTCAGCTGTAAAATGATAAGACCTTGCCGCCAATCTAGTAATACCCTTAAATTCATAAGCTCTATGGATTTTATGAAGAATAACTAAATGTATAGTAGGAGTACTATCCCAAATGTGGCAGCAACATTCAATGCATTGTAGATTGGTAGATCTAAGAAGTAAAGTAATCTAAAAGGAACGAAACTCTTGCTACACATAATTGTTCAGCGTTATTCCAGGTGAGGAGACACTTTCATCGGGAAACAAACTCTCTGACATATTTCCTTTATTTTTCCAATTCTTAATTCATAGTTTCCTTTTATTTTTACATGATATTTATTATTACATACTTGGTTTGGTTTGTTTTACGGCCTATCAACCTCAATGGGTCATTTAATGCCGGCAACATTTTTTTCCTGGTAATATTTTTGTTTTGTCAAAAATCTATTTCTGGTAATATTTTTTTCTCAAAAACGTACAGCTGGTAATATTTTTTCAAAAGCCTATAGCTGGTAATATTATTTTATCAAAAACGTATAGCTGGTAATATTATCTTTTCAAAAACGTATAGCTGGTAATACTATTTTTTTCAAAACGTGTGGCTGGTAATATTATTTTTTTCCAAAACGTATAGCTGGCAATATTATTTTTTCAACAACGTATAGCTGGTTATATTATTTTTTTCCAAAACGTATAGCTGGTAATACTTTTTTTTTTTCAAAAACGTATAGCTGTTAATGTTATTTTTCAAAAATGTATTGCTGTTAATATTTTTTTTTTCAAAAACAAATTGATGGTAATATTTTTTTTCTTCAAAAACCTATCTCTGGTAAAAAATTTTTTACAAAATATTTCTTGTATTAAAACACTTTTATAATGCTTTTTACCTCAGTTTCGGGATTGACTATTTGCCCATAGCTGGGAACCTAACAGGTGCTACCACCCTGGGTCAGGGTGGACCTGAGAACACCAGTAATTAAGAGGTGGTTCCACGCTCCTCAACGTCTCCTGATTAGAGGCCCTGCTGTTGGACGTAGTTTATCATCTTACTCTGGACGCAGATTTAGTTTATCGTCATACCCAGGACGGACACACATATTTGATCAATTCTTTAAAGCGATTAGATTTTCACTTAATCTTTTATGCTAATATCATTAGTCGCATCATCCTCCAATTCTTCTTCTTCTCCTTATTTTATGTATGTTTCTTTCTTTTCAATTTAATCTATTTCATCTTCATTTTAATTATAAATCTTTAGTATAACCTATTTCTTTTTCTTATTTTACAATTTAATCTATTTCTTTTATTTAACATAATCGATTTTCCCCCTTTATTTAATCTATTTTTATTTCTCTTCAGCTTCGTATATTCTTTTTCAACTTGATGTCTCTCCTCTTCTACTTTTTCAATATAATCAGTTATTATTATTTGTCTTCAATTTAATCTATTTTGTTTTCCTTTTCAATATATTTAATCATTTCAGTGACTTAATATCTTTCTTCTTCTTTAATTTAAACTTCTTCAGTTTAATTTTCTTCAGTTTAATTTTCTGTCGTTTTCTTCTTCGAAATAATTCGGTACTTATTGTTTATTCTTCTACATAATTTATTTCTTTTTCTTTGATTTATTTCTTCATTTAAAAAAAAAATATTTCCTCTACTTTTCAACATTTTCCGCTTAATTAAATTTCTTTCTTCTTTTTAAAAATGTTCTTTCAATAATAGATCCTGAAACTGAACCATGTTTTCAACTCATAATCTCACATGCTTTGGGCAAATACAGAAACGAATCGTAATTCGTTACGTGCAAGAAAAATTAAAGCCGATGAATCTTTATATTCCTCGGGATCATCGGTTGAGTAAGCATTTCACCCCAAGCAAGATGGGAGTGTCACTAGCACGCAAGGGGTTACAGAGAGTGAGAGCAAGAGTAAACGGGGGAGTTTGGGCGAAAAGATTAAGAGAAGGACGGGGAAACAGCATCGAACAGGATCGATGTCGATTGGCATTACATTTGAATATTTGAAGATTATAGTTCTCAAGGAAACAAGTAAGAAGAAGGGAGTTCCACTGTCGGGGAGTATCAGAGAAGAAGCTGTTGGGGTAGAAGATTCGGTAACATTTAACTGTTTCGACAAGAATGGATGGCACCGAGATGCCAACCTAGAAATAAACTTCAATTCATGCAGTTGAGGTAATAGTGAAAGTAGCTAGTCAGAGTAGTTGCCATGAAAAGGGAAGCCACAGCACGTCTGTGAGAAACTGATAGTAGAAGAAATGCCAGATCAGGATCTATCACAGTGCATATCCGTCTCTGTCCCTTGCAAAAGTCTCGAATGGATGATTAATAATATACTTATCTGGTTCCTTGAAGTTAATAACATAACATGTCTGGTTTTGAAAGAAGAGAAAAACGAAGGGAACCTTCTGAATGTAATCTTTTAGAAACGCTTTTTCTTAAGACGAAACACTTGACAGCGGTATTCTTTGGAATAAAAACATTCTATGATACCATAGGATATCGATTTGAGAATCTTGTCACCAAGATTCTCAATCCTGCAAAAAATCATCAGATATTGATTATGCAGATGACCTAGCTACCACTGCTGACACCATTACCGCCATATTTCTCCTACATCATCTAGAATATCTTTCTAACAATGTTGGACTCTTTATCAATGCCTCTAAAACTGAATTCATAAGCTTCAACCAGTCAAGTTCAATAAAAAACTATATCAGGCAAATCAATAAAATCTGTCAAATATTTTACGTAAATAGGAAGCGAAATAAATACTACTGAAAAGAAGTGATAATTCGCATATCTAAAACCTAGTCCACCTTGAATAAAATTGATGTAAGTTTGAAATCTGATGTACGAGACAGCCTCAAACGGAGATTCATTTGAGGCACTGTAGAGGCGGTTTTAATGTATGCTGCCACTGATTGGACATTGACTAAAACCCTAGGGTCTAAGTTCGATAGAACCTACACTCGGATGCTGAGAAGTATACTAAATATCTCTTGGAGACAACATTCAACTAAATCACAGCTTTGTAGACTCATTCCTGATATTTCTAGAATATTACACAAGCGCATAATTCTCTTTCCAGGACACTGCTGGTGATCAAAACAAAAACCTGCGAGTGATCTACTGCTCTGGACACCTATCCATGGTGCTAGACGGGCTGGTCGACTAGCAATCACTTACATTGACCAGCTATGTTATGACACAGAATGACACCCCAATGCCTTAACTATCTGGATATAGGACCTGTATATTTTGCGTGATAGAATCATTAATGTCCGAGTTATCTCATCTGAATAATGATTCCACATAGGAACACACAAACTTATATGATCTAAACAAAATGTGTCAGTTATGTGACATGAGTGATACGTGCTAAGGCGATCAGGTATCGAAAGATAGATGTCTGACGAGGCAGATTTTTTTCCCACAGTAGGTTGCCAATTCTTTCTGCGGTAGATAAGTTGCAATCCAAGGCTACTGAATCCGGTCTGTCCTGCTAATTACCTATAGCTGGCGGGAGAAGAATAGGATTCATACCTTTCCCAAGGTTATTAGCACGTAAATGAATGAATAGGATGTGACTGGAATTTGAACCCGAAGATTAGCAATCCTTAATAATAGCTTTCTAACAGAACGTGTTTTCAATGGCCAATTTGTTACTACTCTTTCTGATCTATATCGACAAGTAAAAGATGTACCACAATGGAGTATCTTATTAGTCATCCTCTTTAATATTAAAATAAATGGTATCTCTAAATGCTTGAATGCAGGAATCTACTCTTCGTTTATTACTTGATCTGCTATATATCCATACAGTCGAGCGCCAAATCCAAATTAAATTTATTTGGTTATTTTTATCCAAATAAATTTAATAAATCGGTTATGGAAAATGAATTCTTCAAAACAAAAACTGTGAAGACATTTTTACCAGTTCCAAAAACTGCTGATAATTCATGATGGTTCTCATATTCTTAACCGTGCACCAATATAAATTCTTTGGAATTGTCTTTGACGGAAGATTATCTTTTATACCTCTTTTACATCTTAAATGTCTCTTATTTAAATCAATTCAGCAATCCCGATTATCAGTGTTACTGCTCACATATACAGGGAAGCTGATGAATATACACTATAAGGTCTATAAACACGCATACCTGACAAATCTTATGTTTTTAGAGTTGAAAGTATACCCATAGACCTTATGGCAGACAATGAACCAGAAAAAACTCACGATTTTTTTCAGATTGACTATTTATACTTACATCACTGAAAAACAAAAATACAGAAATTCATTAACATTATTTACATTATTCGGACGATAGTCCTCATCTTTGTTGCCATAATTTTTAGAACGTTTCGGCCGTTGTACATTTCAGTCTTCTTCAGGTGGTTGGGATGTCGAACTGAACCCTTTATTTCGCTCACTGTGGTTGACTGTTCTAGCTCCATATGCCATGTTTAATGGATATCAGATACCAGTTATATCCTGTTAATTTCCCTCTGAAAGTCCTTAAACATGGCACATGGAACTAGAACAGTCTACCCCAGTGAAAGAAATAAATGGTTCAGTTTGACATTTCAACCACCTGAAGAAGGCCGGGGCGTACAACGGACGAAACGTTGTAATAAATATGGCAACAAAGATGAAGACAATAGTCCGAATAATGTAAATAGTGTACATAATAACTCATCTCAGAAATATAGACAATTCATTAACAGTTCAATTACTAAACATAATTAATCAGATCGACAACGAAAATGTCTTCTGTTGAGTCTCTAGCAATACTGATACCAGCCGAAATAGAAAACCTGTCATGATATCAAACGTATCAGTAAGGACGAACTTTTCAAAATTGAAAATTCCCTATATAGGCTTTAAGTTAACTATAAACTCATATACTAAACAAATGGCAACAATTATAGAACTACCAACCAAACAACAATCTTTACAACATTCCACCAGTTCTACGAGAATGGCATGATGACTTCAGACTTTCTCGGGAAGAAGAATTCGTCCTATCAATAATCAAATTAGGACACACCAAGATCACTCACTCATTACCCCTATAAAGGAACATCTTCACAATTGCCCAGCATCTCAGGAGGCATATATTGTAAAACTTATTCTAACCAATTTTATTAAACTTGCTCTTATAGATCAAAAATTGTATGAAATGACTCTTCTAGCGATTTTTTTTCAGAATAAAATAGATGCGAACCTAGACTACTTGAAGAAAGTTGGTCTATATCACAAGTTATAGCACTAAATTCTAGGATTATTTACATGCCATATCTTTAGAAATCCATTTGGCATTACATAATCGATTTAGCTGACAAGGCTATAAGAATAATCAATCAATCAATCGATCAAACATCTCAGTTTCTAGTGCTTGTCCTGACACCTGTCATTGTGTACGAGACATTATGGGTTAAAAGTTATAAAGACCATAGAAATGAAATGTATTGGAATCTAACTGAGCGAACCCTTCGGAGTAATCTTAATTCAAACTAGAATGAGTTTATAAAACAGAATTTACTTTTTAGGAATCTAATGAACTTTCATATATTTTATGAAACTTAACATATTTAAAATAGAGCATCTTGATTATCTTCTGAACGCATGCATATACCATTAAAATATATTTAAATTGCTCATACTAATCACTCATATGAGAAGAAGTTTTCACTTACTAAAAGAAATTGGGTAAAAACAAAATGTACTTGCATTAAATTTATCACGATCGCGAGTCCTGAAACTCTTTCGAGTTGTTGGGGCACCACATGCACAGCTGCTGCAGTAGAATTGGTGTGTCTAGGGCAAGATTGCCTGACAAAGTTCAAACCCTCCAGGATTGTTTGAATTCAATGTTTCCCTTCTCCTAGACCGGATGCCACGCAAGGCTATAGAACCCAGTCTGACTTGATATTTAACCAAAGCTGGGGGAGAAGAGATGAATTCATAGCTTTCCCAAGGGTATATTAACACGTAACTGAATGTGATAAGCTCGACTGGAATTCGATTTCGGATCTCCGATTCCTCAATCCGAGCCACAATCCATTACTCATCCGTGCCTCCGTAAATACATTTTAGTGAGAAGAATAAAAGCATAAACATATACATGTGGCTGCATCAAAAACGAAGATCAAGTTTCTACTTGTAGATAACATTGTCGTTGTAAAAATATATCATTGTAAAAGTCGTCTGAAGATAATTGAATCATTTTATAGAAAAGACATTAAGCCAAGTGTCAAACTTGAAGTTAACCTATTTGTGAATGGCACAATTGTGTTGGCATTCTTTTAATGATATTCCTAACAAGGAATTACTACTTCTTCCACCCAGAACGGCTTAGAATTGCTACTACTTCCACACAATAGAATCAGGCTATATATTAACAATGAAGCCTTGCAATTGGCTAATGCTTTGGCCAAAAGCTCTTGAGACACTGATCATTACGGGTACTTTCTACACTCTCTTAGTCCCATTATAAATAAATCTGTAAGAATATTAATAAGTAATTTTAAATGTTCTTCCTTTAAAGAAACATATATAACTAGAAAGAGTGCTGAAAAATATACAAATTATTTGTCGTAAGCTGTTCTGTTACTATATAGTTATATATTTACCGCTTGAAGTCGGTGATTATTTCAAGATTGCAAATGGTGTGGTTCAAAACAGGCAGAGCATTAATCTCCACTTTGAAAACTGAAGATCCAGACATTTTCTCTCTTTCCTTTTACACCAGTTGACCTTGTTGTAGCATAAGCTAAGTTTAGTAAAGGTCTATGAAGAGCATTGATTTGTCGGTCAATATTGATTATAGTCATGATCACCGGATAATGAATAAAAGGCGCCATGTTTACTGTAGTCATATTGAAGCTGTCACTTTCTTTTGTGTAGTTTGGCTTTTATTCTCAAACCCTTGCTTAGTGAGCGTGACGTTTATCTCTCGTAAAAAAAAACGAGCGAGCTTTATGGCATCCAGCAGACAACAGCGTCCATTTTTCTTTTCGAAAATGAAAGGTGCATTCCATAATAAACCTTGTTTTGTTCACCTTCACTGTTATCATTTTCATCTATAAATGCTACATTTAGTGTAAATATATCATACGTCATGTGTAAAAGTGTAGGCGCCAGAAAGAATAGAAGAATTGTCCAGAATGGCAAGTATGAAAAAAAGAATAATGCTGATAGGTAAATTGAAGGCTATACATATAAGAGTGGCATAATAGGCGGAAGGCAAGAATAAACGCAATATTTCAAGCTTTGACTTGCATTTGCATTATATCATAAATATTGATTATTCGTGTAGAAAAATTCTTCAACATCATGACTATTACTTTTCTATGATGTTCCATAATAGGACATGGGCTATCATGGCTCTCTATAATCAACTATTACTTGCAGCTCTTAGTAAAATTTGTACCACATTTTCTTCATTCAAGGACCTCAATAGCTTTCCCCTGTACTCCTGAGTATGACGATAAACTACACTCGGCAGCAAGTTCTCTGATCGGGAGCTTGTAGGTTTCATGAAGTGTAGAACAACCTTTTAATTGCTGTTGTTCCCGGGCTAACCGTAAACTAGTGTGGTAACACTTGTTAGGGTCCCAGCTATGGGGAAATAATGAACCTTCAATGAAAATCAAAAAATTAAGAAAGTGTAATACATTCTTTATTGAGATTAGCAGCAATGGATATTTTAAAATATTCCAACAATACGGTTTTGTATTGAGATTACCAGCAATTTTTTTTATCCTCTACAAATTATATATCTAAAAACCATGTTCACCCTGAAAGTATAAACTTCTATACAAAATATCTGTAGCTGAATCCATAAAATTGCGAACAAAATGTTTAGATTTCGGGATTAAATGACCCATAGGACACACAAAGCTTTTTCTGTACCTTTTGTCTTCAATAAATCTTAAGTGAGTCAGCTTTGCTTCCTTTTTATGTGTCCAATAATTTTCATCTGTGTCATTCTGATTTTGAGTATAAGCGTTGTTTTTGTTTCCGTTAACCTTAGGATGCGCTCCGTCTATAGATTTCCCAGCATCCTTCTGTAGAACCATATTTCTGTTGACAGCAATTGTCTCATCATCTGCGAGGAGATCGTCCATCCATCACTGTTCTATAAAATGATTGATATTACATAACATTTCAGCACAATTGTTGCTTAAATTCAATCTTCTGTACGTAACTTTCAAAACAATATATTTTCAATCGATGTGGATTTTGTAATGTTATAAGGAATCTAGTAAGCCAAAATAGTCCAACTAAGAAATTATTGCATTGAAGATCTAAGTTTTCACTAAAGGGCGCTTTCTCTAGCGTTGGGATTTTTTTAACTATTTCACCCCAAGCAAAAAGCTAAAGGTGACTAAGTTGCAATGGGTTGAGTGGGAGTTAATAAAACTGACATAATGTTACTGTGACGGGAGAACAATAGACGAACAGATTTCAAGGAGAAAGTAGATGACAATTGACGGTGCATTTGAACATTTGAAGATTGTATTTGAAAGAAAGGATGGAAGAGAGTAAAACAATCAAGATGCGACGAAGGGAGGATCTATGAATATAGAACTTAATGTTATGACTAGGAAATTCAACAGAGAATTTATGAGACGGAAGTGCCAATCTTCTACGGTTGCTTAAATTCGTGGTCGAGGAACTAAAGAGGAAATCACTTTCGAACAGTTAGAAAAACACATTTATAGAAATGGCACACGAATCCACATTACACCGGTGGAAAAGTAACTGAAGAAAGGATGCCTAAGCAGATCCGATAACGTTGCAGATTTTTCTTTGAATTTTGTCAAGATTCTCTAAGTACATAACAAATGCAACAAACCGCACGCATGTGGCAGCAATATTTAATACACGTTCAAACGACAGACTTAACAAAAGAAAAGACAAATTCTTGCGAGAAAAATTGTCTCACACGAAATAGTGAATCCACTTTCTTATTAGCAGTCTTAGCAGTTGATACAATATAATCTTTCCATTTCATGTCAGTGTTGTTAACTGGGGCAAGAAATGAACTATTAATTTTAACGTCTCCAAAAATATCTTCTCTCTGTTAATCATCTTAAAGATTTTTTTATTTGCATCAGTATGGCTGATGCTAACCTCTTCACTGCATCTTCTTGATATTATGTTTTCCACTAACATGAAAACTGTGTCCCAAAAACCTCAACTCACTTTTTCTCTCTTTTCGTTGCCATTGATTCTATAACTTTGTCGTCGCTTACATGTTCGGTCCATGGTATTCTCAGTATCTTTCTGTAGAACCACATTTATCTTACTTTAAGTCTCTCTTTCATCTGTGAGGATTTTGATCAGTATATATTTTGTCTGATACTATATGACGTTTCAACACACTTTTCTTTTTTCTGACAATATTTATTCTGTTTCTTTGCTCAGCGTTTTGGAAGGCATCTTTCGCTATCCCAAAGCGGATTCGGAGTTGTCAGAATAGAAGTGCCAAGATTTCTGGAGATTAAAGCACATGTATTTAAACCTGTATTTATGTAAATTCGTAGATCAGAATAAATTGTTCAGACCTGCACTTACTGGTTTTTAAAATAAAAGTTCACTCTTAAGAATGGGATTTCAGATTTGCAGTTGTAAAGGAATAAGTGATAAAAGTACAAGAGAATAAAAGAACAAACGAAATAAAGATTTAACGAATAAACGAATAAGGGAATAAAAGAACAAACGATAAAAAGAATAAGCGAATAAATAACCCTGATCCCATAAATTATTCAGTTATTGAAGATTCTGATTAGATTCGATACATATTATTATATGCAGGCATTCACGATATGAAAAATCGGAATATTTTGTAAGGCAGTGTAAGATAAATTCTAGAGTTGAGAGAAAGAATGAAAGAAAGATGTTGACGATTCGAGACATAATAATTACAAAATGAGAAAAAAAGGAAATGATTTAAGAGGGAGAATTCAATATAAGATTCAGAATAGGACAACAATACTGGCAGCTATCTTCCCGTCATATCCTCTGAAGAATGGGAAACCAAAATTTAGACCAACAAGAAAATGAGAATCAGACTATTATTTTGTCAAATCAGACCTAGAAGCGAAAAAAGAGAATGAAAAACACAGGGACTCATCTAACCGAGTATATAATTCCTTTAAATGCATAGACTTCATGTTTGCTACAATATTTCGTTTTTAAAAATAGAAGATTTATAGCTCTCTTAATAAACAAAAATATATTTTCTATACATTGTGATTACCATTTCTTTTATGAGTGTTCTACACTTATATCATTTACCATTTATTTACTTCTACAATTTTTTTTCTTGGCTGCAAATGTACCTCTGTAAGGTGCAAATCGACTGATGCAAATCGACTAACAAAAAAATGCAAACCACAAGGGGTAAAATTTTAGAAGGAAAGAAAAACAGAGGTGGTACAGAAGAAGAGAAAGAAAAAAAGAAAACATGAAAAGGAAATTTCGAATGAAAAAGAAGAAAGAAAACACACGAGAAAAGAAGTAAAGAAAAGAAAATTAAATAAGAATAGGAAAGAAAGAACCTCTTGAGAATCTTATTGTGTTAATGCCTGTGTGTTGGGCCCAGCAAGTGTGGCAAGACTTCAGCTGTCACACGCATGACACACAATCACGTCCCATTATGGCCTAAGCCGTTCTTCAAGTGGCCCGCGACTTTAATTATCTCATCTACTCAAGTAGGAAGGGAAATTAACGGTGAACTAGAGATTGGCTTTTATATTCCAGGCCAGGGCAAAAATAATGTTTCTCCGTCTAATGTATACGAGTTATGACAGTTAATGTCAGAGGCGTTGTATACGACTGACACGAGTCAAGCGTTCTTAATATAGTCGCCATGTTTCGTCTGCCCCGCTTCGCACGCATGCGCAGGAATCGTTCTTCACTTCATAAGTTCATGACGAGATGTTAGTACACACACGCGCGTACACATGTTTCTGCCTATATCACCGATTGTAATTTATATATAAAGGTAAGATTAAACTTAAGACAAATTGTTTATTGAAGCAATTATATGCAGTGTGTGTAGAAACAATATCAAATATATAGTCAATATACATAAGAATCCACACAGATGTATATCCTTGTGCAGATTAAAGAGTGCATATGTACCTGAAAGTGCACTTAACTAGGTATGTATGTACTTACAGACAAAAACGGAAATGATTGATTCATTTTGTTTTTAAGGAGGTACACAAATCTAAATGTAGTCACATAACAACACACAAACACATACATATACTTACATGGTTTAATATTTTTTTTACTTATAGTTGAAGAGTTTTTAAAAGGAGGAACATGCCGCACGTTAGTTTACACAGGGGCGACAAACATCCCCATTGCATGGTGTTATGCAATTTCACGCTTAAAGTGCTCATCAGATATTTTAGGCTTTAGTCGTAAAGCACAATGCAGTGTTGATTTTTTTGTCCACACTATCTAAGGGTGACATATTTCACGACTGAATTAGATGTAAACTTTCAAACGGCACCATCAGTATATTTTCGATTCCCGTAGTTCTTTAAAAAAAACTGTGGGAAAGTATTCACCATATTATATATCGCAAATAAAAAGAACCGTGGCCAAACCGTGGCTCACGAGCTACATGTGGCTCTTTGGCTTTTAATATGCGACTCGTGGAAATATGTTGCCTGAGCACTTTTCTTCATCACAGCTTATATAAAACGTAAATGAGAAAAATTTCAAGCTTTATAATTATTTACTGTGTAGAAATCGAGATACCGCGGGATTTAAACGTAACCTTAATGTTCATGGTTCGTAAAAATATTTCAGAATTTAAATCCTAATTTTAATGTTTGGTCGGAGTGAGGCATTGTTTTTTATTAATAAGTTAAGGAACTGTGGGAGGCAGAGCGATTAAAGAAATTTCTGCTCAGTAAGGTTTACAGAAATGTCAGAAGACAGCAATCACGGGTAAGAGGAGTAATGATTTCGGTGTGTTGGGGGTAGTAACTGTCGTTCTCAAACATCTGAACTTTGTCCTATGTGACTCTTACATGAAAAACGTTTAGCCACCCCTGAGATA